ACCACCAGCCGCAGGGGAAACTCGGCTCCGGCACCTCCTCCCGCTCCGTCCTCACTGACCTGCTGTTGATGCAGCTGTTTCTCTCAGATCTCAGTGCTCTCTGGGTGAACTCGGCCCAGCAGGCACCCCGGGAGCGGGGTGCTCCCTGAGTTCCCCACGCGGCGCCGGCCCGGTGCAGGCAGGCACCCGGCCGGGGCCAGGGAGCGGGGGCAGTGCCCTCCTCCCTTCTCCTCGCTCCTGGGCAAAAGCACCTTTTCCTGTTCCTTTGTCCCAACTTAAATAGGGCCATTCGCAGAGGCGCCGATTGGCTCAACCCCGAGGGGGATGGGACTCAGATCTGGTGGCACAGGGAGCAAATCCCCTCTCCTGCCACCAGAACCCCTTCCCCCACATCGAACTATCACAACCTTCAAGTCCCATTGAAGAGGGGAAAGCAACTTTCTAGCTCAGAGTTGTTCCTGAGGAATCCCTTACTGTGCGGAGAGCCAAGAGGCAGTAGGTTCTTTGTCCTTGACACGGTAGATATGACTTCACTTCAGCTCCTGCCTAAATCCAACAACTGACTTAGTGCTTTGCCTCTACCTGAAAAATATCACTCACCCAGCCTGGACATTAATTCAATGCTGTGGATTCAAGCTTTGTCTTGAAGCGTTTAGTCTTTTATAATCCATCCTTTGAAATAATGTGACGAGAGAGCAGCCAGGTCCAGGTTCCGGCCATTCCAGCTCTTTCTTACATTTTCCTGGAGATGTAAGACAGACATTGAAGTGGCCAGCTAGGTGTTTCCCCAGCCTACAGCTAGCACAGCTGTCTAGACATGGCTCTGCATTGCAAAGAATAACGGTATGGCCTGGTTAAGTGAAAGAGCAGAGGACACAACAAACTGTGATAAGAGGAGCCCCATTGACAGAGTTGGGAGAGGGACAGAAAGTTTACCTCCAAAGCATGATAGGAACATGTAAGACTCATTTTCTGTAATGTTATTGTTTTCCAAGAAATTCACCTCTGTAAATAGAACAGCAACAACAGCGTGTTTAATTAGTTAGAAATCATGCTACAAATAAAGCTTGAATTCTTAGCGGATTCGTCGTCTCCAGTAATTTCCATTTGTAAGATCATATATTTCCATTCTTAAGAACATTTCTAGAATATGTTGCAATGTGTTTTATTTCTGTTGTAGTCAAGCCTGAAACCGCGAGGTGTAAAGATCTCGTATAAAAGCTTTCCACGTTCTCAATTGCTTGTACTGAGTGATAAAGGAGTTTACTGATTTCAGGGCACCAAACTCTTTCATAAAAGACAATGTTCATATTCAGAAGAACGGGCTGTTTAAATCAGTGTTACGAAACTTTAAAGCTCGAATGCCATAAAAGAAAGCACAATGCATGAAATAGTCCTTCATGTTTTCCCTACTGTGTTCCTTTCTTTTAGTGCTGGAGTCGGCAGGACTGGCTGTTTCATTGTGATAGATGCCATGTTAGAGAGAATAAAGCATGAAAAAACTGTAGATATTTATGGCCACGTAACTCTAATGAGAGCACAGAGGAATTACATGGTTCAAACTGAGGACCAATACATCTTTATCCACGATGCACTGCTGGAAGCAGTGACATGTGGAAATACCGAAGTGCCAGCGAGAAACCTGTATGCATATATCCAGAAGCTGACACAGATAGAAACAGGCGAGAACGTCACAGGAATGGAACTGGAATTTAAGGTACTGGGATTTTATTGTTGTGGGGAACCAAAAACAAATGGTGTAACAGTTAATGCTCCACTGGTTGTTTCCGGTAGTCAAAAGATAAAGACAACATTGGGCTAAAATTTTAAATTAGGAAGACAATCCTTTGTAAACTGTACAATCCTATCCTCAATTAGTGTCCAGGCAAGAACGGTTAAGTGAGAGTGGTTTAACCCTGCTGTTCCTTTGTTGTTTCAAAAGCTTGAAATACGTGTTTGTGTAATGGTTTAATTCTCAAATTTGTCCATATGGATTAATGGAGCAGCCGTTAAAATTTTATAGGGTATTAAAAGAAGCTTTACGAATATTTAGGTAATGCAATAGGATATGGAAAAGTAAACATCCGAAATTGAAATTTTTCTTTAACGGATAATGAGCAGAGACAGTGTGATTTGTTTTGCTTATGCCTGGTCTTAATTCTATAAATTTATGTTCAACAGCGTCTTGCCAGCTCTAAGGCTCACACTTCAAGATTCATCAGTGCCAATCTTCCTTGTAATAAATTCAAAAATCGCCTTGTCAATATTATGCCATATGAGTCTACAAGGGTATGCTTGCAGCCAATCCGAGGAGTAGAAGGCTCTGATTATATTAATGCCAGTTTCATTGATGGATACAGGTACTAATGCTGACGTGTTCTCAGGTGGACTGTTTTAAAAGTTTACAATATTGTTTGTGTAGCTACATTGAAAATAACAACATTTAGTATTGTTTATTGTCTGTGCATGCCATGTTTGATTGGGTGTTTTTTTTAAACAGTAATAAAAGCTTTAGATTTTCAGCTATGCAGTACAGGAAAAATCTGTAAATGACATAGAGTCTTAAATGTTGTATTTTTACCTACCTTTGAACTGTTGAGAATTGAGTATGTTTTACATGCTGAAAGTTCCTGAAATTTAAAGCGCATTCATGACTTGGAATCTCTGTTTCTTCACAAGTGTTCTGGTTAAAAAGATGCATAGAAGTGACATACAGGAGATACACTCTCTGTGCCAAGGTGATATGACCTGTGATCTTGGAACATTGATTAAGACTAGACTTGTCTGCCAAAAGTGTTTTATACATAAACAGTTGTGTAGCTCACCAGCATCTTCATGACAACGCAGAGCAACACGTCCTTAGCTGACTTAAGCATCTGGTAGAAAAAGGCATGGAAGAGAAGCAGTATGTTTCCCTAGGGCAGTTTAGGTGGACCTGAGTATCCGTATCCATAGAGATCATTTTCTGAGCCTCTGCTCATTGGAAACAACCCTCACCTCCACTGCCGCCCACAAAGGTGTTTCTGTTGGTTGAAAGAAGAAAGAACAACATGAACTGGTCATCATCTTACAAAGCTGTTGGTCCAGAAGCTTTTAAAAGCGTGGTGGCATCTTCCACTGGTAGGATGTTAAGGCCTCGAAATGCAGTGCTCTCCATTCCTGAATTTTCTTCCTGCCTTACTTTTGCTGGAGACATCAAACGATTGAAAAGGAGTTAATATAAGAAACTGCTTGATGCTATAATTCCTAAACTTAATAGATTGTTAGACAGTTATTTCTACAAAATGAACCAGCACAGCTAAGTGTTTCTTAAGTGCTTTTTACAGCACACAAAATTGAGCTATTAGAGTTGCATTAAAATTTAAATAATAATGATAAAGACATACATCATAATATTAACAGAGCAATTTCCCTCTCAAAGTTCTAAAAATAAAAAGGCATAGTTTGATTAAACAATCGTAATAAGCTTTTAATATGCTTATTATTAATAGTACATAAATTTTTCCTAGATAATGTTTACATATAAACAGAGAACATGTGTATCAATTCACTGTTTTGATTAAAACGTTTTTCTTCATTTACATAGACAACAAAAAGCTTACATAGCTACACAAGGTCCTTTAGCAGAAACAACTGAAGACTTCTGGAGAATGCTCTGGGAGCACAATTCTACAATTGTGGTCATGCTCACTAAGCTACGAGAAATGGGCAGAGTAAGTACTGCTGTAATATTCCTGTACTAAAACGTTTGTTATAATGATTTTTCATTAAAATAGTTCATTGCTGTGCGAATGTCTAAAGATAAAGGTGAGGATTTAGGTTCCTTCTCCTTTTGAAATATCAGTGGCATCGTTGATCACCAGTTGTGAAGTTTTCCAATCTGTAGACATGTTGCAATAGACAAGCTAGACGTGGCATTTTGTTATGGGACACAATGAGATTCAGCAACTGAGGTTGCATGTTGATATTCCAAAGCATGCAGAGAGAGCATCGCTGTCTATTGAAAAAAAAAAAAACCCACAAGATTTCTTATTTGGAAACTTTGCTTTTACAGTATCTGTTTTTAACAATATTGAAAGAAGGCGTGGTATTTTTGAGACCTGAATGTCTTCTGTGCGTTGATAGCACTGAGCTTTAAAGTGTCAGCACCCTGTTTACAGTCCTAAACTCATTCAAGTGCTGCTTTGTGTAATGGAAAGAAAGAAGCAGTTTACTGTCTTGACAGAATTACATCAAGACAAAACCAGTATGTAAGAAGTGAAATCTGAGTTAGGCCATGTATCTGGGGAGCAGAGAGGAATCAGGACATGGCTAGTAGATGCAGAAAGAGTCTCAACTGAGGAGGCCAGGGGAACTTACTTCAATAGGGAAGAAGAAAACAAGCTGAAGGTAGCCTCAAAATTTAAATTCTGTTCTGTATTGAAAATTAGGCTAGGGATAGCTCTTGTCACTGATGAGTAATAGAATAGACCAAAAGTATGAACGAGTTAAATGTACAGCAACCAGAGAGAACCCCTTTGCAATGTGATACTGAAGAACATTTTTTATTCTAGGTATGGAACTTCATGTTCACAGCAAGACAAACAGTTCATTTTCCTGTCACTAATGGCGTTTTCCATGAGTATTACACTCATCTGAGTGAAAAAGGTTTTGTAAAAGTTTATGGTAGTGATCTCGAGTAATGAAGGAAATTTTACTTCGATATTTTGTAGGAAAAATGCCACCAGTACTGGCCTGCAGAGCGCTCAGCCAGATATCAGTATTTTGTGGTAGATCCAATGGCAGAGTACAACATGCCACAATATATTCTGAGGGAATTCAAGGTTACAGATGCAAGGGTAAGTTAACATAGCTTGAAACAAGTTCACATATGTTTAAAAGAAAATATTCATTTTGTTCTTTATCTCTCTTTTCTTTTAAATTGTTATTATTAGCAGAACTCTAGGTGTGTACTTTCTACAAGCAATAAACAAAAAGCAGATGAAATTATTAAATGAATGGGATCTTTGTGTAAGAACAATTTACTTCATTCAGATGTAACATCTGGGCAATACAACTTTGTGAAGTTCTGAATAATTATTTGTGCTGAAATACATTAGATGATTTGAGGACCATTTTCCCTTTTTCCCTCATTTCCCCCTTGAACATTTTTGGGGGCAATTTTTGTCACAGCTGTGAATATGTTGTTTTGCACCACCCTCTAGGCTGAGTGAGTATGAAGGTTAATACATTGAGATTTAAAAACTGCAGAGCAAATAGCATTTGTAAGAAAAGCTCTACAAGCTTTGCACATTATAATTTGATTTTTGGCATAGCATATTTTCAGCACTCTTGTATATCTGCAGAGTAGATGCATGCAGCTGTGACCCTAGCATCCTCATTTTCATACTGCGTTTCTTATGTGAATTCCTGAGTCCAAAACTGAGCGCTGATATAAGATTAAATATACATAAACTTTAAATATGTATTTGGCATTTCTCAGACTTTTGATTTCTAGCGCTTTAGTCTGCGTGGCAGGAAAAATTACTGGCAGCCTCCATTTCTGTAAGCGTGGTAGAATACTATTTGTTCAAGCAAAATAGCAGGATGTATTGTCCAGGAGTAACATGAGTGATTACTCAGAGTTGCCAGTCAGCATCCGAAGTGTTAGTCTTCCTTATAGTTATCTAGACTGCTGCTTTTAATGTTAGCTTCAAGTAAAATTAGGTACTGACAATTGGGTAGACAGTGTTGTCACTAACCAAGTCAGCACATGAACTTTTTAATTTGGCAAATGAGACTTAGGTGTGTGTTTCTGAAAAGAAACTGTAGACACACTGGATCTGATTTTCATTCTGAATCTCGTGAGGATCACAGGACTCCATACCTTCTCTAACCTATTTGCTCTAAACAAAAGTGGAGAACAGGCTCCTAATGTCAGACTTTAACCACGTTTGTAAGCATAGACAGTAAAGCCAATTTCACTACAACTGTGCTGATAGTTTTCGTAGATCATCTATTAAAAATCTGTTCCATCTCAAGCTGGAAGAAGTCTTACGTGACATAGTTCACCAAGCTCAGATCACGAAATAGCAATGATAACAAAAAGGCACAGATGTAGTTGAAGTGAAGCATCTGCAAGCCGTATATATTTCTGAAAAGTTCTTTCAAGAGTTTATAATGAACTAGGATATTTATGAAAGTCTGGTTACTTATAGTTAGCAAACCAATAAAAAGTCTGAGATCATCGAATAACCTAATTGTCCATAAATAGTTTTATTGGACTTGATATTAATACACCTCTTTTAAAAAGTGCCAAGCATATGTTCACTTTGGCAGTCCTGTTGTGACATTTTGCTGTCACATGACATTGCTTCTGAAATTTTAAGAATCTCTTTGCCTTGATAGTCCAAATTTCAGTAAACAACTCAATGGCAAGCTCATAGGGCCATCTTAAATTTTCTAGATGTACTGGGAAACTGTAGCTCCTTCCAAATTTACTGGAAGCAGTGGGGACTACTTACCAAACTGTACATTAGTTAGGCTTTTATGGCTGTCATACCCAGTAATTGAGACCATCTGACTAAACTGTTGTATTTAAAGAAGAGTAAAAAAAACAGCCTCTCTCCCTCTTATCTCCACACACATCTGTGATGTTAGAATACCATCCATGCTTTGGCAGAGCGAAGCCAGCCAATTATTCCCCAGGGACAAGAAAAGAAGCACACTGCCTTTGTAGGTGTCAGCAGCAAGTGTCTGGTGTGGAACTCCCTGGTATTTCTGAAACTGAGCTGTGAATTGTTGTAAGGTGAAACTGACCTCTGTAACTGTTCCAATCTACTGCTTCTGACTGCTTTATACTCACTTTCTCTGTAAACTCCAGAGGTCAATATGTTGGGGCAGTCTCATTTAAGGCTAAACTATTAGTGATGGCTGTAAGAGGGTATTATAAATTCTACAGCCTCATCGAAAGACAATTGAATATCCCCTGCGAAGAGCAGGAAGAAATCCAAACGGTCAGCCAATCAATATGATGATACATTAAGAGCCCTCTGCTCCACACAGGGATCTGAAAGTCCATATTTTGATAACTAAGTGTGCAAACTGTCACGATATTTGAAAGTAAAGATTTTAATAAAATTTGGCGTTTGTATCTGGACCGCTGTTGGCGAGTATCTCATTAAAAGAAAGCAGCGCTGTTTATAATGTCAGGAGCAAAGGGAACTGTCTAAGAAATTGCAGATCAGTTCCCAGATGCTTTAATGCTAGTCGAGCATCAGACTCACTTACTTTACTTCTGTGCTCATTAAGTAGCATTAAATAACATAAGTTATTGCCATTAAAACTAAATCAGAACAGTTTTCACAGACTTGCATCGGATTACTGAGTTACTAGTATCCTTAAATATACCAATACAGCTGATGTAGGCACACTTGAAAAACAAGTATTTACCATCAAATCTATTTTGTGGTCTTTCCAATGACAGCCGAGACTTAAGTAAAGCAGCATTTTTCTTATCTTTTCTACCCCTCACTAAAAAGTTATTGTTATTCTAGTGTAACTCCTGTCAGGGTCAGAAATTGCTGAAAAGCTTCCTTCTCCTTAACTAACATGTTGCAAGTTAGCCAGGCTTAAGGTTTTCTTTCTTTACTTTAGAAGAACAGGAGGTTATTTTGGAGAGAATCAACCTATTGCTTTGTCTTCTTGATTAATTAACGTCATGTGCCTAAGGCTATCCGAAGGATGCAATTTCATTATGTCTTCTTGGGGGAAAATAGGATCACGGAGACCATTATGAGAGAAGTTTGCATTAACAAAATGCCATTTTGGTAGGAAATATTTAGTTCTTTGTGTTGATGCCCATAAGAAATAAACTTGGGTAAATCTTTTCGAGTTTGTTTTTTTTTTTAAAGTGGACAAAAACGTTCCACAGAAATAGACAACTTAATTGTCACAGTGACAATATAAGAGATAGCAAGTCAAAGAAGTGTATGTGTGTGTTCTCATGGAGCAGTGGCAGGCACACCTCCCCATTTTCTGCTTTCCTTACTCATCTCAGACATGGGAGGTAAAAACTCACAGTACCAGAGGAAACACAAAAGCAAAGTATTGGTTTTTCCTTTGGTTATTTTTAAAATCACTTCAATTTCATTTCAAAGCTCTATAGTAGCTGAGTACTGTGGTAGAGGAAAAAAAAAATATTGTTCTTGCCTCCACTGTTACTTGTTGCTTTTGGGGGATCTCCTATAATCATTTCAATTTTTCGCGAGTTTCACTTAGTAGAAGACCATTTGGGAGACATGGTAGAGTGGATCTTTAGGAAACAACATATCCAGGGGCACTAGTTCACATCAGTAGCTCATGTGTCCATGCTTTTATGCCCATGCTTTTAAACATTTCAGCTGTGCAGATTGACAATGTCAAAACCATCAAGAGCAATGTTTGAAAATTCAGAACAAATTTACTTCATCCATTTGTATTGGTTTTTTTCTATTTATGTGCCCTGACCATTTGCACATTAAATAGGGATACAGCAGAAATTGGCATTTAATACTTCCAGTGGCTTCATTGTAAAAATAACCAAGCTGCAGTATTCTGCAGTTTTAAACAATCTTGTTTGTGTTCCTAACCAAAGGGAATGAACAGCTTCAACTGACTTGTTTTGAGAGAGGAAGCCCTTCTTCTCAATTTTTGACTGAGCCCAAGCTGTTAGTGAATGAAATTATGATAATTGAAAGGAAGTTTATGGTTTGTTAAACAACTGGCTTGTCTCAATCCATCTTCTTCCAGGTAAATGTCCACTTCATAGAAAGTACCATACTGTTAAAGATAACATCTGCAAAGAGGTCAATGACTAGATGAGTCTTAACAGTGACGATATTCCGATCATGCAGTAAATGAGTGTATCTAGGAAACGGAGAGTCAGGTTGGATGGCCTTATTCTCCCTCTTCTGTATCTAAAGGAATTTACAGTCCATAGGATTCAAAACACGACTTGCCCAAAAAATATATAACCTGGTGAGACCGGTATGTCTTTAGCCTCAGACATGCTTTCTGCACAGGTAGAATGTCAGAGAACTGTGCTATCCAGTGCAGGTGGGAATCCATGCAACCTTCATGAAACTGAGCTTCTGGGCAAGCGTGTCCAACAGCACCAGCCAGTACTGGGACTGAAAGAGTCGTCATAGACGTGATCTTAGCCGTTCCCCGCCTCCTCTCAGTGTCCTTGTTTTGTGATTGTCTTTCTGGTTGTTGGCTGACTGACTTGCAGCCTGCTTTTGGGATACATTGTTTGTGTCTTTTGTTAAAGGATGGCCAATCTCGAACAGTGAGACAGTTCCAGTTCACTGACTGGCCAGAACAAGGAGTGCCAAAGTCTGGAGAAGGATTTATTGACTTCATAGGCCAAGTGCATAAAACAAAAGAGCAGTTTGGTCAGGATGGACCAATTTCTGTTCATTGCAGGTAAGTAAACAAAGCCTCAAAGCAGCTCATATGCAGATTTGGTGTTTTCTAAAGTTGATTGCTGATTGCCGCAAAGGTGTACATGTAAATGGAATTTCATAGGTGACCTATCAGAAAATTTAATCAAATAAAAGATGTAAAAAGGAACACATAGGACTGCTTTACAAAACAGGAACTGCTCTAGAATACCCCATTTACACAGAAAAGGTTCTTGTGAAGTATGTGGAAGCACGTGATTTTTTCTTCACTTAAAAATGTCTCTAATGCAGGGTGAAAAAAATCCGATCAAAGCAGTAGGAAGAGCCTTATCACAGGCTGCTGTATCTGATATTTTGTTCCCACTGGTAATGGAAAGTGAGGCTGTTACACTGGTGGCAATTATTAGCTGTAAACAAGCTAGTTACACCTCAGTAGCAGATCAGTAGCAATCAAAATGAGACAAATAAAAATGATAACTGTCTCAAGGAAGGAAATGGAATAAAAAGCACTGTTTAGAAAAAAATGGGGTTTTGCCTGTCAAAAAAAATCATTGAGTTTTGGATTGATGTGTTCTAACTTCAGAAGGTAATGCCCATTTTTTGATGTGATGGCTTCCCTTAATTCCTTTACAATTGATACGCAGATGAAAACTACAATTGATATGCAGATGAAAACAGCTTGCAGGGTGTGTGGGAATAATCCAGGGTGGGCTTTTTTAATATTCTTGTATTTTTTATTTATTTTCTCTGCAGTATTCTAGAGTCTATAGCAGATGGCCAAAAATAATATCTTTATCTTTTATCTCTTATTTAATAAATTGTTTTCCATAAATTCCATTAGGATTTTAGATACTCATTTTCGCAACACTAAATTGTTTTTTGGTAGATGAAATGTTATTATTTATATAACAGAGATGCAAAATGCAGATAGAAGTTCCCAGTCCTTCCTGCAAGCCAAGTAATGCCCCAATACTAGCATGAAGACAGAATGAACAATTTTACTGGAGCATATGAATGTACAGAGGGAGAGAGATTCTTGTCCTTCCAAAGCCAGGAGCAACCAGAAGTTGTTAAAACACCAGGATGTTTATTTAATAGAGTTCCTTATGCTCCCCTAATCAGAAAGAGTGACAAAATAAATGTGCTGGACTACTTGAATCCTACTTTCCTACTTTTTTTGCGTTCCTAAAAAAAATTGAAGGCCTGCTAAGGAGAGCAACATTGCAGAGCAGTGTTTGGGATTCATTTGGCAAGGGAGAATGAAGGACAACTGTGATAAGAACAAGCCTTATTCTTCCTGACATTAATGAGTTTTGAGAGCAGAGGAGTAATAAGCAGTATTTATGCCTTTATGCAGGCATTCATACGAAAGCAAAGTGACGGTATTCTTCTGAGTTCTTCGTACCATGCAAACTTGTCCACTTGCAACTGCAATAAAATACTGCTTGCAGTAGGTTATGCATCCCTACCTAATGGGTGTGATCTTTCATGCTGAAAGATTATGGAGATTTCTGCCATTGACTTTGGTAGAAACAAAGTCAAATCTAGTGTAGTTCATTGTGATTTGGACTTTCAATGCCTTATCATCATCATCATCATCACGATAATTTGGAGATTGGTAATGCTAATTATCATTATCAATGTTAGTCAACGTACATGAACAAGAAATGTCTCTAGCAAATTAGTGAGTTTATTTGTCAGGAAGCACAAGATCCTGGGTATCTGCACTTTCTTTGTGGAATTATTGTAATGATGCCTTCAGTTTGTACCGCGATGAGTTTTTAAGGATTTCTCTTGTACAGAGAAATTTGTTAAATGACAAACTCTCTTAGTACCACTTCCCTGTGGTGTCCTTCCCACTCTACACATTTTTCACAAGTTTTCTTTCTCTGTTACACAGTAAACCCCTGCCACCCATAAATTTAAAATGTTCTCCTTCTCTGGCATTTTTAGAAGTAGATCTGTGTGTTGCCGTTTAAAAATTTCTAACCTCATCAAGCAATTAGTTAAAAAATAGTTAAGAGAGCAAAGAACGGTTCACCTTCAAGCAAAAATTTCATTTCAACCAATTTTAGATACTTACAGTCTTGTTATTCCAGTTTTTAGCTGGAACATAAGGAAAACCACCCTTTCCCAGCATGCATTCAGGATGTATTTTTAAAAACAAACTCTTCTCTCTTAAAAAAAAAATATCAGTACTTCCTCATAGCTCATTAAAGCATCCTAACTTTGGTTTCTAGCTGTTTAAACTTCAGTGAATCATACTACATCACAAAGTAGTGCCTTCATCATTTACTAAGTTCAGGATTCTTTACAACCTGTATCACATTGCTTCATTAAATGCCATGGTAGAACTCAGTTTGCTCTTTGGCTTATGCAAGAAACCAGCTGATTATTAAAATGCTACTAGTATTTATGTGGACTTCCATCACACTTTAGAAATCCTAAGCATCTTCTAATAGGATTTAATACAATCTTAAAGTATGCTCTCCACTTTAGGAGAGCAGGATCAGTTTCCTACAGACTTTCCCAAAATGCTACACTTGACCTGTTAAGATTTACAAGCATTGAGATCTTTCCATATTAGTCTGTCTTCCTCACTAAGTAACTTCCTCAGATACTGTTTTCATTTCTTAAGAACACAACAAATTAATTCCCTCCTTTTGCTGAATTAAAAAGTTCTGAGTAGTTTTTTTAAAGTAATAAAGATTTCACTAACGCGTGAGGCTAGAAGTCCTCACACATATTTAGAAAACCATGCAATTTTTTTTGGATAGCTTTACATGGTAATTTGCCTTCACTCTGCTGGTTACTTTCTGGGCTACTTGGTTTACATCACATGGTCATCAGCTCTGTAAAGTCCAAACAGGTTCCAGTGCTATTTTTCCAGGATTTTTTCAGCATATTTCTTAAACATTAGCTTTCTAATTTACCTCTTCAGGGAAAGGAGACCTTACACTCCAGATGCTCTAGATGTCCACGAGCATTGTCATCACGTATAGGTAAACCTGCACTGAGAGCATGATCTTATGTCAAGTTGTCTCTTAATCGCCCTTTGGCTTCAGCTCTCTGAAGGCACACATATTATGTAAAATTTCCAAATCCAATATTTAGTAGCCCTAGAAGTGCACTGATCTAGACCAAACACTGAAATACTGTTATACAATTTGGACATTTGATTTCTGCACTAATCTCGTGAATTCTCTGGATCTCTGTCTTAGTCCATATCAACGTTCAGAGTTCTTCAGCCTTTCCCTGTTGTTGATGTTCTTCCACTCTCCTGTCTAGTGAGTACGTCTTATAACATCTCCAGCTTCCCAAGTCTATCTGACTGCAGGAAACCTTGTGGTATTATTAGCATTGACAGTGAGATGATGAGGTGCATAATTTCCACCCATACAAGTTCAGACTTGGAAAATCTTTTTTTCTGTGTAGTTAGCGGTTTCTTTGTCCAAGAGTCATCCTCGTGAATAAAGCATTGTTTAATTAACAGACAACTACTGACTCTATTGATTACAGGAATTTCTATCACTTCTTGAGGATTTTAGCTAATAACAGAAAGTCGAGACCGGACAGAGAGCAAACAAGCCATATAATCAAAGAAGGCATTTCAGACTAATGTAGACAGACATGGTGTACGTTTATCAGTATGGGAAAGCTAAAGATCCAGATTGCCAGACTGGAATAAAAACTGTGTCTTAAGGTTTTTGTGTATCCGTTATTTAAACTGTAGTGCAAATGAACCATTTTAACATTGCTTGAAGATCCACTGACTAACTCAAAAGTAGAAGGTAAACTGGCACACTGAAGATGTGCAAAACAAGGCATACAAGTGAACAAGATAAAGTAAAGCAAGCAGTAAAATGCATTTTGGCATCTTTTTCTCTTGTCAGTTCCAGCGTAGGTCGTTGGCAGCAAACGTTCTTATTTTCCTTCACCATGCACTGATTACTGTATATCTGGATGAACAAATCAAGCCACTTTGCAATGAAGACCGGAGAATCAAGAAGTACTTAGTAGCATGTGAAGTTTGCTTGAGCACAGTTATTATGCAATGTGGTAATTTGCTGTGGAATTTTGCTTAGCGAGCCTTTCCCCGTATAGAAATCCGTACACATATGGTGTGTTGTAACCACAGATAATTCGTCAGCCAATTCTTTCAGCATTAACTGTCAAGTAACATTCCTTTTTTTCCTTTCTTTTTTTTTTTTTTCTTTTATTGCAACAGCGCGGGTGTTGGAAGAACTGGAGTATTCATAACCCTGAGCATTGTCTTAGAAAGAATGAGATATGAAGGTGTTGTAGATATCTTCCAGACTGTCAAAATGTTAAGGACACAGCGGCCAGCCATGGTACAGACAGAGGTGAGCAAAACAGTGTCCATATACAATGGTGACAGAAAAGAAGGGTTATTTCCACAGCCAAAAAATGGACAGATAGAGACTGTATAAAATGTGCTTACTTTTATATCTTAAGTCATATAGTCACTATATGACTACAGTGTAAAAACTGCTGTAAAGGTGCTGCAAGGATGATTTCCTGTTACAGCTATAGATGCTGCAGGCTGGAGAAGAAAAAGATCATTTCAGTAGTGGATCTTAAATTATGGTAGTTGAGGAAAACCGTTTTCCAAGAAGCATTACCCATTTTTATTTGAACCTTTGTTTCCTGGCAGAAATGTGTGGTAATAAAGAAGGGAGGCAAACTGTTTCTACAGGTGGATCCACTGATTTTTTTTTTGTTCCGGGAGCAAAGTGTTGTTCATGGCTTCAGACTGACACTATAATATTTTCATGGTTTTCTTGACTTTGTGTCACCAAGCAAGTGGCTGTTTTGCCTGAAAATCATAATGGCAAATTCAGCAATCAGGAAAACTGTAGTGTAAATAATTTCTGTGCTAGGAAGAGTGCCACAGAGAAATAAGGAAAGGGATTTCCTGGGCCTGGACACTTGGAACTGTGTCATGTCATAAAGAATACTTAAACATTTTCAATTGTGCTTAATTTCTGTGTAAGTTTCTGAACAGGAGACTTGAACTAAGGGAGAGTCAATAGGTTAAGAGAACCAAGCAAAAGGGGGAAAGAAGGGAAACATTTTAATGCCTACATTTGTTTAGTATAATTTGATTGACACTGGCCTTTAAATTGCAGTCTGTGGAACTTATAATGGTTCCCCAGAGTTTGCTATTTTCCACAAGAAAATTAAACTTTTTCAATAAAAGCTGGGTAGTCTTATTTTTAAGAAGACAACTTCATAAAAACTTACACGAAAAATAAAGATACTTATTTTTAATCTTGTCAGTTAGCCGAGTAAATCACTGTGACCAAACTGAAGTGTTAATTCTATTTCTTTTCCATTACCATCATTCTTCTGGATAAGCAAAGTGAAAAATGACTGCTTTCTGCTCTTTTGGTTCCAAGAAATAACTACAGTATACAGAAAAACTATGCTGCGTAGAGCCTACGTGACAAATACAGGGCTCAGCCATGCAATATATTCTCCCTCCTCCTACTTTGACTTATTTCTGTGTGCTACCCTTCATCCCCGCTGCTGAAAGTAGGAGTGTTGTGTACTCATTTCTTTCAGGATTCTGTAGAAAACAAATCTCTCTTTTGGTAGTATAAACTGCCAGGAAATCTAATCCTCATTCAGCAAAGCGCTTGAACTCCGTGTGGGACGCACATAACGTTTAAAATTTACGTGTAGGTCTAATGCCTTCTCCCACTGTTGCAAGAGGAAGTGGAAAAGAACTATTAGTGATCGTGCCACTACATTGAGGAAAACATCTGATGAGTTTCCTGATCTCCAAAAGAATTTTAACTGAGATCTTTAAAGTATAACCCATGCGGGATACCGCATAGCACTATCAGACAAATAAGCAGATCTTTATATTTTCGATGACTTTCAAAAGGAGTTTCTTTTCTTCTTTTTTCTTCTCCTTTTTTAACCTTTAAACCCTGCGTGGCAGTTGCAAACGAGCACACAGACATGCCGTTTTGGTGTAAGCGTGCAGCGTTACTTAAATGTGCAAAAAGACTGCTGTGTGGGGGTGAGAATAACGTGAAATGCCAAATGTTGGATTCACCAGAGGTTTAAGCAAATCCCTCACCACACTGAACTTTTCTCTGCTTCCAGGTGCAGGTTGAAATGCAATCTGTTTCATGTTAATGAGGTGCTTTAGCTGTGCCTTTCTCTCTCAGGCCCTTTTCTTGCCACAGGCTAAGATATCTTCCCATCTTCCTCAAAGCCTGTGTTACTGCAAGGCTGGGATTCCCTTTGTTTCCTTAACATGATTTTTAACCTGGTGGTTTTCCTTACAGCATTCTGTGTTAAGGCTGTGATGGATTTTGTCGCTTGGTGCGTTGTATTTGCTATAGCAAATAGCTATATAGCAAAATTGGACATATTGCTGCATATTTTCAAATACACGGGGGAGAAGTGTCTTAGCACGCTCCCATAAGAAGAAAGGTTTGTGCTGGTGGTATGTTAATCCAGAATAACAAACCTTCAGTAGGTGGGTACATAGTCCCTGCACGAAAAGAAGCTGTGTCCTGTGGAAAATGTTATTGCATTAAATGAGTGGCTGTCTTTCGTAACTCACACTGGTTTTCTGTCGATGTCAGCAAGAGAATATTGCTGAACTGCAGACGCCTCTGTGGTGTGTTTGTCTGCAGCCACAAAGTCTTCACTCGTAGTTGAAAGAAAATAGAAATCAGCCAACAAGCTGGCTTTTTGATGCTTTTGTTTTCTATCTTTCTTTCTTTCCAGGATCAATACCAGTTCTGCTATCGAGCCGCACTGGAGTATCTGGGCAGCTTTGATCACTATGCAACATAAAAACCCATCGTGGATTTTTATTGCAGGCCCTTTAAGATCCGGAGAGCCGCTTCTGAGCCATACGTTGTGCTTTAGAAGTACTTCTTAACTCTTAGCTAAGGAGCAATTTTTGGGGATATATAAAATAAAACAAACAAACAAACAAACAAACAAAATGGGGATATATAAAACAAGAACAACGAGAAAAGAACCCTATTCCATGTGGACCAAGAATTCACAGTTTAATAACCTAACCATAATAAAAGAATCCTGACTACTGAGGCGTCTGAAGGATCTCATTGACAGATACCTCAAGGGTTCGACATTGGTTGACGTTAAAGGGAAGAGGAAATTAATCACAAAGAACAATCATCTTGTTCAGGATTACATGCTTTTGCAAAGAGGAATTCTGAGAGAACTGCAGTTCAGTGCAAGATGTTTGTTAAAAGGTTGGGTCCTGGCTTCTCAAACAAAGCGAACTCTCTACTTCGACATTACCCCTTCCTATCATACTGCTCATCATAACACTTTAGGGAAAATGTGGGAATGTTTAAAAAGAAAGTCCTTGATTTAGTTTTTTAGTATTGTAAAGATACTGCTGACCTGTGCTTCATTTTTAACTGTGTAAACTTTTTCCTTTTTTTAACAAGAGTTTATCATTCAATGAAGTGAATTAAAGAAAAGATTGCATAACTGTTAATCTTTCTGTTTAAAAACTGTAGATTTTTTTTTTAAGCTGTAGAACTGTTATCTGTAATATCGTGCTGTAGAAATGTTAAATAATTTGAAAATTTGCACATTTTTGTGCAGTCCTATATTTGTCTACAGTACCACAGTCTTGTTAGATATTACTTTTACAGTTTTGTTTGGTTTATTTTTCTTTAAGAAAATATTCATTGTAATCAGTTAAATCAAAATGGGGCTTTTTGGTTTCTTTTGGAATCAACAGGGAGGCGCAAAGTATAAAGATGCTGCTAACACACACACACACATGCACACATATGCACATAGACACATCCACACCCTCTCTCTTTTTCTCTATATATAAGTATATGTATGTATTACTGTCTACCTTTGTCTAACTCTCTGCGTGGGTACAGAGATACCAACAGGTAGATATTCACACACATACACACAAACATATCAATTCTTCCATACGTGGATTTATCAAATCATTGGGAAAGTTTTTCAGCATACTACAGTTATATTAAACTAGTGTTTGATCATCTCTGTGTTTCCAAGGCCCATTAACTTCAGTTTCAAAGGGAAGTGAGGAATGCACATCATTGATATTTGAACATCATCTCTATCCCAAACAATATTTCTATCCACATTGCCACTTGAACACACACACATGCACACACACACACGTGCACACACATGCACACACGCACACAGAGTATGTGATTTAGGCTTCCAGTGAAGTTCAATATTTGTAACACTATAGTGCAATAAGAAATCATATTATTAAATGTAGGAGGTGTGCATGTGGGAAAGGTCAGTGCATATCCCTTTAGGAGGGGAGAATGTTGTAATATACTAGGTATTAAGATGTTTTAAAATTGTATCCAATAGTATACTGTCTATAGTGTGCGCTATATAATTTACATTTATTGTATGTAACAGGGCAAAGCCAAACACACATTGCTCTGTGAAATCAAATGTTTTGTGGCATACAGCATTGTTTGGGGATGCTGGGTTTTATTTTAATTTTACATTTAGAGTGCCTTATATTTGATGCCTATTTTGAATAGCATTTAAGTTAGCCTTCATTTGTACTTAGTTCAGTTTGTTCATATCTCTGTTATTCTTTTCAAACATTTTAATACATGTATCAGACAATTTTGAAAAATATGCATTTCCAGTTTCTAATCAAGTATGGATGGTAATAAATGATAACCCAAAACACATAGGTAGTCAAGGCCCTTTATCTTTCCATATTTCCAATAACATACCAGCCCACAAATTAAAAATCCATTTCTTGTTGGTTTTTCAAACCCACTGTGTTATAGTGTTATCATTGCAGAGATGTAGCAGTACAATAGCAGTAGTTGACATTAGCAGTGCTCAAGTATCTTTTTTTTTTTTTTTGTATTTTATTTTGGGCCAAGTCCTGCTCATCACGTGTGTGAACGATTGGTAAAGTCAAACCATTGCTCTTAGTGGGAGGGTTCATGTAAGGCTAGCAAGACTGAGCCCACAGGTTATATTTGAGAATGAAGCTAGATTTTCTTACAGGGAACAAAGAAAATTCTGTAAACAGCACAAAGTACTTTTTGAGACTCTTAATAGGGCCATTTGCATTGACCCTGGTTTCCATCATGCCTTCTGCCATTGTCAGCACATGACTATCAAAGGAATTCTTTCTTTGCGATTTCAAATAGGAATGGCTTGTCAGTGTGACCTCAACTTTTTTTCTTCCTCTTCCACTTTCCCACTACTAGCAGAAAGAAAAATAGGAAAGACCAAACTCTAGTAAGCATTGTATTTGAGCACTTTTGTAAAGAAAAAAAAAAAAACAACAAAAAAAAAATCAAAACAAAAATATAAATATATATATATGGAATAGAAGTATTATAGAAGGCTACCTCAGAATGAGATTCTATAACTTACATCTGAACCAGAGAAGAATGTGCACTATGTTTCTTTTTCTTCTTCTTTCTTGATTTGTATTTCAAAATAATTATTGAAGTGCCAGGTTATGTGATGTTGTCATGTTCTTCAACTCAAATGTATGGGATCGGAAAAACATAATAATCAAAAAAGCATCATTTTGGAAACATAGACTAGGGAAGATTATTGCACACTAGATCTGTAAAAGGATCAGAGCATTCTCCCTAGCAGACTGTCTTGCAAGCTCCAAAGAACATGAGGGAATTAAATAAAATCAGCAACAAACAGAGCCAATTTGTGAGGAAAACTGTTGTACAACTAAATATTCCTTTTAGTTTTTATGTTCCTTAATACGACTGTTGGCATCATTGATGTGCATTCCACTTTCTGTATTCTTATCTACAGTCATTCTACAGTTAATTTAAATTATGAGCATCTTTGTCTACATACATCATACATTTCCAAGCTTAAAATTGGTTTCATCAGCATAACCAGTACGGTGCTATTATTTACGTTTATATGTGTAGTTATGTCTAATTTTGTAATTAGTTGCAATGCGGGAAAAAAAAAACACAAAATATATAAAAATGATTTATATAGAAGTTTAATTTAGCTCTTTTTTTAAGAAATTATTTGAGTGGTTAGATAGTGGAGAGGATGGCTGGGGGAAGGAGTGGCCCTCTAGGGAGATTTGCACTTTCTATATATACCTTTGTACTATGCACTGCCCTATTGATTCTACACCCAATAATGTTATAACTTGAACCCATCTGTAAGAAACTGCTTATAAAATCCACTTGTGTGTATTTAAATGACACAGAACATGTACTAAGGAAAAAAAAAATGTTTGCAATGACTAAAAGAAATGCAACTGCTTTTTTTTTCCTTTTATTTTCTCCTATTTTTGTTTATTTTTCTTTTTTCGTTTTTTTTCTTTTTTTCTTTTTTTTTTTTTTTTTCCCCTTGGTGCCCTGATACTCCACAGATATCAGAAGGCTGCAGGTCTCATCATAACCATCTGTTATGTGGCTTTGCCATTCAAGCTTGGAGTGTCTTTACAAAGATAATAAAAAATTGTGTTCTTTGCTCTTGTTTTGGATGCATAGACTGAAAAAATTTAAAAAATTACCTTGTAAAATGGCTTGTTAAAAAAGATACAATTACCTCTAATTAGTAGTACGCGTAAATGTTTTACAGAATGAAAGGCGTGCTTTTTATTTTCTTACTTCGTTACATTGGTGGCGAAAGAAAGTCTGTATGAAAATCAGTTCTTTGCTGACACAAGTTCCATTTGTTACAAATGAATTCTAATAAAATGTCAGTGTTATGCAGCCCTGGTCTTCTTTCTTAAGCAGTACTTTCGAAACCAGAACTTGTTTGGTCCCTCTTGGTGATAAACGAGTTTAATTGGAACTACAAAGCAGTCATTAATCTTCTTAACTAGCAGCTAGACAGTGGAAAATGCATTCTTAGCTTAGCAAATATATATCATCTTCAGCAGCAAATTTCGAGCCAGCATAGGCAAACTCTGGCATAAATTCCCATAGCCTCATGAATTTAATTGAAATTATCACACTTTACATGCCTCCGGAGTTCCCCTTTGTGCTTTAGGAATGCGTCATTACGCTGAGAAAATAGACTTTTGTCCATTTGTAGGTGCAAACCCAAAGGGGGCAAAATATCTACTACATATTTGGGGCAAATTGTGACTTTTTCAGTCCTGCAGATTTGGCTGGTTCTGGAGTAAATCCAAAGTCACCGGTCAGAATTCAGTTGCTGGAACTGTGACAAGCAGTCGTGATAGATTTTTGACTCATTCCTGCTCTGCACTGCACGTGCAGCCAGTGCAAACGTGAGTCCGCGATGCTGCCATCCCAAAACTGTGCAAGTGTTTTCCAACATTTCGAAAAAGTTTTAGATGGACATGCCAAGTGCGTTGAGGCAAGCTACAAGTGGCCATGGCATGGCAATCTAGTCAAGGGAAACAGGACAGTCTTGCTCTGTTTATTTGTTTTGAAAGAGGGCAGGTTCTGTCTCCAAGATTGCTTTGTTGGTGAGGGAACGCAGTCCCATCCCAAAACTGTGCAAGTGTTTTCCAACATTTCGAAAAAGTTTTAGATGGACATGCCAAGTGCGTTGAGGCAAGCTACAAGTGGCCATGGCATGGCAATCTAGTCAAGGGAAACAGGACAGTCTTGCTCTGTTTATTTGTTTTGAAAGAGGGCAGGTTCTGTCTCCAAGATTGCTTTGTTGGTGAGGGAACGCAGTCTATTAGTGATCAGGATTAAGTACCTGTTACTAATAAAGAACTCTCTGTGCTGGAAGGGTGTGCAAAGACATTAACTTTAGGCTGATTTCTAAGAACTTGTGTTGTTCTTGGCCTCGTTTCCAAGTTCAGAGAGTGATAATAGTGTAAATATGAAGCCTTGGTATTCTTACAGAGTCTTACTAGTGTTTTTCCACTGACTTCTGTGGATTTTGCAATTACTGCTTTGCAGGCTGCCTTCGGCTTGAACGTTTTTTGCGTAGTCTGTACAA